TGGGGGATCTGGCGAGTATAGGCATGATTGTTAGGGACATGAATGGGGCTACGATTTTTACTTATGCTGGTCCCATTGGTGTAGCTTTTGCTAAATATTTTGAGATTGAAGCCCTCTTTCATGGTCTCTCTTTAAAACAAAAAATATTGTTGATTGTTGTATTGTAGAAGGTGATTTATTGGATGTGATTAAATGGTGCAGCAAAAAATGGAGAGTGCCTCCTTAAAATAAAAAATATTGCTGAGTGTTGCATTGTGGAATGTGATTTATTGAATGTGATTAAATTGCGCAACAAAGAATAGAGAGTGCCCTAGGAGATGAAATCTATCTGGTAGCAAATTTTAGATTTGGTGGAGTCTTTCACAGTTAATTTTCAACATGTTTATAAGGAGGCCAATGATTTGGTGAGAAGCGTGGTGCTTCCTTTCCTTTGCTCTTGGTGACTACTGTTGTAATTTTTCCAATGTAATTTCTTTTTATATATTAATAAATGAAGTATTATTGGTAACAAAAAGCAAAATATCTCATCAATATTTGAAAAATTTTATTTTGGATTTCGTCCCCAATCAATGATATATCTTCAACCACCTCATTTTACATCCAGTAGTTAATAATGATTATGACATTCGTGTATTAAAAGTAAATGATTTCATTGTATGTGTTTTCTTTTAAAATAATGATTATCACTTTGATCGAAAAAAGTTTGATCGAACGAAGTAAATATATCAAAAAAATTTAGATCGAACAAAATAAAAATCTTATATTTCTTTTAATTTTAAGAATATGAGGTATGGTGGGATAAGTTAGTAAGATATATTTTTAAACAATAAAAAATCATGTAATAAGTAAAGGTAATAGTTTAAAGTTGTATTTTCTTTTCGAATATCTTATTTTGATAGACTTAAAAGATTTAGATAAAGGTTTAGAGACATCACATACGAAGAACGTGTGATTTAAAGAGATCTATGGGAAAAAATAAGAGAAATGGGAAAAAAGAAAAAAAGTAGGGTGTGAGAGTTAGAGAGAGATAAGAGAATAAAAAATGGCATGATTTCGAGAGAGATAAGGGATAATGAATAGTGGTGAGAGTTAGAGAGACAAGACAGTTTATTTCTTTTATTTAGGTTTATTTAAATGGAAGAAATACTTAGAGTAGATATTGAAATTGAATAAAGTTGATAATGTGAAAATATTTTTTTTTGGGTAGATTTTTAATTTTGAGTGAAGATATATTCTCTTAAATTTTTATTTTATTTTTATTTTTTAATTTATTATTATTTCTCCTTAGATCACACTCGCATGTAATCTTCATCCTTTGTAAGATTTGCAATATTGTAATTCCCAATGCTTTAAAGAGACAAGAAACTAATGACAAATTCAAACAAGAACCCCAGAACAAAAACAATGGCTAAAGATATATTATAAGATACAAAATATTCGCATAATTGCATTGAGTTCATCGCCGATTTTTTGTATAATTGGGGGGTCAATTAAACTACATTTTGCAGGATTGGGTTCTGAGTTCTTCTCCATCCACTTCTGCAAAAATTCAGGTCATCGTTTAGTTTATGGCTCCCTCTTTCTTCCTCTCTCATCTGCAAAAATTCAGCTTCTCAGTTTTGGGTTCTTTCCAACTTCTCTTCTTGGGCTTCTCTCTCTCTGGTTCAGTTTCATAGTTTTGGACTTTTGGGTTCTTTCTGCCTTCTCTTCAGCAATTCAGGTTTGGTAATTTTTGCTCTCTCTCTCTCTCTCTCTCTCTCTCTCCTAAAAAAGTTTTTAGCTTTCATGGCTACCTTTACTCCTGAAAAAGCAGAATATTTGGACTCCTGAGTTATCTCTCTCCTACTGAAGTTTTTAGCTTTCATTGTGACCTTTACTCCTGAAAAAGCAAGATTTGGACTCCTGAGTAAGCTCTTAGAGTTCCAGCAAGCAAACTGGAGGAAAGCTTTAAATTTGAATATGGTTATTTCTCATTCTTATTCTTCAGTTGATCCAAGCCAATAGTTCAGCTTTTGATGAACTCGAAATCTGAACCAGGAGACTTGGGGAACACATCAGTTTTGAATTAGGTTCTTTGTTTCTCATGCAGCTGATCTGAAAAAAATAAAAAAACTATCAGACCTCATTTGATTTTGATTATTCTCTCTCTTATAAGCTGATTTGATCAAACTAATCAAGTATCAGGCTTTATTTATTTTGGTTCCTTCTCTCTCCTCCCTTCAGTTAAAACATCCAGCTTTCGTGGCCTCTTTAGCTCTTGAACTCACAAAATTCTGGCTACGTAAGCACTAAACTGGCCTTTTTAGCTCTTGAACTCACAAAATTCTGGCTACATAAGCACTGAACTGACTAGGACACCATGAAGGGCATCACTTTGGAATTGAGTTCTTTCTCTCTCCTCTTCTTCAGATGTCTATGTAACAGTGTAACCACTTAACTGATTAGGAGAGTGAAAAATAGTATCAAAATTGAATTGTCTTCTCTCTCACTCTCTCTCTCATATTTTGAGCAGCATATTCAGCTTTCATGGCTAATTCAACTTCTGAAAAAGCCGAATCAGACCTATGGGAGCTCTTAATGGACCAGGAAACAGAAAAGATAAAGGTGAAAAAAAATCCAGAACATGGAAGAACCACCATCTGGAAAAAGTTGGAAATTCAAAACACCGTGAGCCTTCGAACAGTAGTTTCTATCTGGGTTACTGTACATCATCAAAAAAGAATTCATGGAATGATTGTTGAAGGATCGAAGTTCTCAGAATTCGAAGAAAGCAGTGTGGATAAATCATGTTTGATATACTGTAGAGTTTCAAACCATGTTAGACCTCTTGATCTAGAAGATGTAATGGAACATTGGACTGCTCAAGGGTTGTTAGAGAGTGAAACCAAGCCTCCCATAGAGCAAACTTTCAAAGAAATCACGAAATTTATATGCACAGACAGTAGATTGAAGGAAATTGAAGAGGCCAACATAGCACAAAGAAAGGTGGTAAATACGATCCATTCAGAGTTATACGACATGGCGGCAATTCCAGAGAGCTTCTTTGATAGCAGGAGGGAGCTCCAAGTTCTAAGTATTTGGCATCCTGGTATTTTCTCTTTCTTCGAATTTGTTCTTTATCATTATTTCTCTCTCTTCCATTTTATTCTTTACGATTGTAGTCTCATGTTTGTTGGATTGTTACCTGAACTGAAGATATTGGAGGGAGAGAGAGAGAGAGAGAGAGGACTTTTGAGGGTGCATTTTATTGATGTTTTTCTTGAGGCTGGAATTATTGTTGCTTTCTCCATCCTTTTCCTGTCTTCATGTGTTCTCAGCTCATTCATTGTCTCACTTGATGATTTAGGAATTTCATCTATACCACTCTCTCTCTTCAAGCTGAAAGGCCTACGAGTTCTCAGCTTACATAAAAGTACGGGAATTTCAGCCCTTCCTCCACTAATTAAGGAATTGAAAAACCTCCAAACTCTGGATCTTTCTTGCACAACCATCAAAGACCTTCCCAAAGAGATGGGAGAGCTGAACAGTTTGAAAATTTTGATTTTGAGGGACTCATTATTGAAACAGATTCCCATTGAAATTTCAAATCTCTCTCTCTTATCAGAACTTGACCTGTTTCAAAGCTACATTAAATGGAGTAATCACTCTGAAACCAATGCTCGACTAGAGGACATTGCTCGCCTAGAAAGATTGAGAAGCCTGCAAATAATGGTGGAGGATTTTGAATGCGTTAGCCATGAATTCATTGAGAAATTGAAGTGTTTGCAGAGGTTTCACATTGTAGTCTGTCCAAGTTATTCTGGCTGGATATCTAAGTACCTAAAGGAATTTTCAGAGAAAAAGTATGGCAAATTAATGGCCTTTCTGTGTTGCGACTGCAAATCAATGGATGGGTTCTCTGTTTTGAATGATTTGGATGGTCTTGTCATTTCTCGCTGCAACAATTTAAGCTCAGTTGTCGCATTTATAGCAGCACAAAAAACCTTGAAATTCTTGCGAATTGAAGATGGGTCTGGGCTGAAGGAGATGATAGGGTCAGGGACTGAGAGAAACCCACTTGAAAGCTTGGAAAATTTGTGTCTCGTTAGACTCCCATTGTTAAAGGGAGAACTAGAACTTGGAGAAAGCCTAAAATTTCTCAGAATCACCGAATGCCCATTGCTTACTGTCCTCCAAAATTCCCTCTCTAAAAACAAGAGCCTGGAGGAGATACATATTGGAAACACCAATGGGATAGAGATACTGGAGTCCAGTCTGGTGAGGCTAGAGAAGGTGATAATCCATAACATGCCATGCTTAAAAAGAATCGAGACTTTCAGTAACCTGAGAGTATTCCAGCTATGGAGATGCTTTGAATTGAAGGACTTACTGTCTGGTTTACTTAAAGCAAAAAGGTTGGAGCAGCTTACCATATGTGATCTCAGTGGAATTGAGAAGTTAATTGATAAGGGGGCTATGAATGAGTACATAATGCACCCTAACATGGTATGCTTAGAGCTTTTGAGATTATCAGACTTAACTGGTGTATGGGAGGGGGAACTGGGTGTTGGAGAATTGGGAAATTTGAGACAGTTAAGTGTTTCAGACTGTCCAAAAGTGAATTCACTCCTCAATGCTGGTTTTGGAAGGCTCAAGGCCCTCGAAGCTATTCGTATCACCAGGTGTGATGGGCTAGAAGCCATAATTGGGGATGAGGTATGTGTATTTTCTTAAAAATACAAATGAGTATTTTTACTTTTAAGAAAATAAAGTATACAAAGAGACCATTTAACTTTAATATAGAGAAGTCGCAATCACTCTTTGTCCATCAGAATTCAATAGTTAGTCTATCATTGACTACACTTAAAGTTAAAAAAATTATCTCAAACTTGTGTTACACCCAAGACATCCAATATGACATCCAATTTGTAGGGTTGTGAACTTTAGATTATCCCATATATATATATATATATATATATATATATATATATATACACGACACGACTACACTATATATCACA